ACGCATCAGGACCGCTTAAAGCTGTTGCGGCTAAAGTAATGTTGAGTTGCGTCGCGTCCCCAGTTCGTGTATAGCGAACCGTGTCTACGGTTTCTGAGCAGGACATCCTCAGAAAGCACCTTCGATGTCTTGAAAAGCGGGGAAACACCTGGATTGATTACGTGGAGTCGAAGAAACAATAAGACGAGCCGCGGCGAGACCTGGCCTTCATCTGTTGCTGTTTCCAGTGCAATGTATTAAAATAACAATACCCCATTGGTATTTATATGTTTATATGCTGTTTGAGAATAAAAATGCGCTCAGATGTAGCAGCTTAACGCAATTGATTTGCAGGAAAAACGATGTGTATGTTGAAAAATGCGCTCAGATGTAGCAGCTTAACGCAATTGATTTGCAGGAAAAACAATGTGTATGTTGAGGCAGCTACAGAACATGGGCAGCGAAGGTATGCAGGCCCACTCACTGCTTTGTAGAGTGTTCGAACAGCCCTGTGCTGATACGCAGGATGGAGCAGAAGTTGGCGGAAGCCAACACGACTAACCGTACACTGAATTTCATACCAGATGAATCTTGTCATTGTTAAGGTGCTGCAAGTTTTGTCATTACTGCGCGATGTACATATCTGAAACAAAATCTAGTACTAAAGCATGTAGCTCAGGGGCATAAGGTAAAGTGCATAGCGTGGGGCGGCGCACGTATTTCCCGAAAATCATTTCTGCAATGCTTGTCCTGCAATTGAGATTGCGTGACAATTTACCTTAGCGGCCGCACAGATGATGCGAAGATACGTCATCAGAACCTTAATTTGGCAAAAGAGGCCCTTATATGCTTCTTACAAAAGTGCGTGGGTCGATCTTTACAAAACAATACTACTTGGGGACAAGACTCACACTGACGCTGTCTAGTTTCAGTACTTGCCCTCATTTCTTGTAAGACATGTCGAAGAATGCAGCGTCACAAGGAATATTCACGTCAGAATATTTATAAAACATATACTGTACCTGACACTCCCTCAAAATAAAGCCCGTCCGCAAATGAACATGGCAGAACACAATACCACACGCTAGCTTGGAAGAAGATAATTCTGGTGTGCGTCCACTCTAGTGTCTCCTGCTGCCTTCATCGCGTTTTCGTCTTCGTAAACTGCCGCCGCCATAAGGAGCCAGCCGTATGGCACAGCCGCCACAGCCGCTGCGTGGTTCGCGATGGGTTCGTGCGTCTCCGTCACCTAGACGACCACGACAACCTTCGCGCATGCGCAGATTGACCACAGCCGGGAACAGCGACATGTACCACGTGACTTTTTAAACGTGCTGCCGAAATACTCTCCCGCGCTGAATAGGTGGCACGCCAGAAAAAAGCACCTGGTGGAGAGTCGCGTCACAACTCAGCCACTTCCGCCCAGACGACCGGCCGCAGTGTACCACGGTAGTATATAGGTGTTCTGAGGCACCACTCTGAAAGCACGCGCGTGCGCCACTTTCGTGCGTCATTTTGAAACGAACAGCTGAAAAAGCCATTGCACCAGTAATACTGCACTGTGGTTTGAAAAAATAACTTAGTCTGAAGGCTAATCTTACATAAAAATCACTAAAACACGAAAAAAAGCCTTGCAATGCCGACTGCGTCTACACATATATGGTATCGAAGGGACAGTTCTGTGCCGTGATGGCAACTCCCTCGTCCACATTTTCTGGTTGCGTGCTGGGTTTTGGGATAACGTTATAGTACTGGCTGGCATGCCCCCATCGAGAAGTCCATACTGCGACAATATTGCGCTGCCAACATCTTCAGTAAACTAATAAAAAGAGTACGTGGTAGCTGCGTCATTTCTTGATTTTTTTGGCATCGTTTGTACGCTCTGTGCGTGGTATGTATGCACGGGGACGTTGATCAAGCAAACTACCATGGCAGCATAGCACATGAGGTGTCACGCTGCTATTCTTGAGGGTGGGGGATAGATTAGCGACCATGGCGGCCACACTTCAATGGGGGTGAAATATAAAAAGAACACCCGTTACCAAGATATCTGTTCGCATTGGAGAATCCCAAGTTGTCCCAATCTTGATACACAAACTGCAGCTTACCTCAAAATGATAGCTTATTTGGCACATAAATGTCTAGCAATTATCGATGTTGAACACACACCTTAATTTTAGGCAGACACAGGCAAGCGGAAGAACTGAAACTGTGAGTTAGGCGAACTAAACAACGAGTAAAAATCGAAGACAATTGATACTTCTCTATCAAGGCATAAATTCTGATGTTACTTACCCGTTGCATCCAGTGAAAAAAAAAGGTTGACCCTTAAGTTTCGCTTTTAGGAGTTAAACGCGATAGCGAAATCCAGGCCCTAGTGCACCCTTGAACCGCTAAGTACATAATACTTATTCATATATGTTTTGTTACATACACACGCACGCACACAAACACGCACACAGTAGATTGGACCAGCGCGCGCTATTATTGCCGAATGGGATCGTTTTCGTCGTGACACATGTCAAACAAAATGCGTTACACCTACCGAACAAACACTTTTTCAATCAACCATAGAATGAATTCACTAGAAGATCTTATTGCTCCACGAATTCAACGCCGCAAAACTTTTAAAAATCCGTCCAGTGCGAGTGGAGTTACAAAGGTTTGTCACATGCTGCAATTGCATTATCTGTTCTCTTATCCTGACGAAAGCGCTGGAAGCTAAGCAGGGAGGGGTGACAGGGCAAACAAACTACCGTGCCTCTTGACCATGAGCACTTCTATCTTTCTTCTAATGCGTGGCTTTTCCAGTGTGAATTCGCTCATGCGCGTGGACAGGTAGCGGCTTCCCGCGGCTATCTCGGTAACTTCATTTTTCGGTCTTCGACACACAAATGATTTTTCGCTCACAACTAACGGGGCCCATGCCGGCGGCGGGTATTCTGCGACACGAGCTCTTTAACGCTGTCGCGTTAAAATTTAACAGCATTGACTGACTCCAGAAAGCTTAGCTTCTAGTAGCCCGCTGCTTTGTTCGTAGGAAGAAGCCTGTCTTTTGCACAAATTAGGTCAAACAGAGGCATCTCGGCATCGAGAGTTCGCCGCGAGAGTATTTTTTACAACAGCTCAGAGGCGTAGGTGGCAGTGGCCCTGCACAAGTCTTGTGGACAAGGCAGCTTTTCATTACATGCAACTATTAAAAGAAAAAGACTACATGCCTACCGTATCATTCACTTCACGCGGCGGCATCAGATGGAGTTTGAGGGTGGTGGTCAGATCGATGGAGGCATGGAAACTTTGTTAGTCTCGAAGTGCCCGAATGAAGGCTCAGTGGGCCAGATAAAAAAAAACAAGTTTACTTACGCTCTATGTTGCGTGTTACGTACACTCGTTTTATTTCCGGCAAAACGCCGTTTAAACTCGACTCTTTCACCCTGGTTTCCACTGATTACATTTTAACTATCGAATAAATATAGCAGACACGTGCCATGCTAAGACTCGAGCCCACAGCACAAGACAGGAGAGCGGGAGAATTTAGCTCGCCTGACCACTTGGACACAACGCCGCCTCCTCTCTCTGTATTGTGTGAAACGTCTTCCATTTCCTCTTTTTATATATTGTTGCACTTGAATACGCAGCAGTACCACCAGCTTCCTTTGCTTTTGTTACGGTTATGCGCACACGCACCACCTCTACCATAGAGTTTCCTAAAACTTACTAGAGGAGACCCTGTCACTGCGATCGTTCAGCGACGATAGGAATGATGGGTAGTACACACATTTGCCTAGTTTTCGTCCTTGCGGGCAGCGAACCGTGCTTGCGGCTTCATTTATTGCTGTATTTTGGTTTCGTTTTGAAAGAAAGATTTAGCCCTTTTGAGCTTCGTGAACCGATTGGGAAAGGTATATGAAAAAGATTAAGTTGGTTAAGTGAAACCGCTGAGAATTTGTTGATTTTTGTTTCGTGAGAAACAGCTCCAAGCCACACGAACACTCATGGAGCCAAAAGCAGGCCACGAGTGCGAAGATTAGACTAATTTGTGTACCACCCATCATTTTCATGCTCGCTGAAGCGCCGCGCGTTGCAGCTCTCATAGAGCACCAGAGTTCCCTCTAGTGTATAGTAGAAAACTCTAAGGCCTCTACCACCCACCACTCTCGTCTGCGGAAGCAGCTGAGAAGTGCGCGCTTTCACCGCCAGGGTGGTCGTAGAAACATCAGCACTGGTTCCCTGTGTAACACATTCCGTTTTAGAAAGCGATTGCTCCAGCTGCGCAACCGTTCAGTGATCACCCCGTAATTAGGAGTGTACTGAGTGCACAACCTCTTCAAGGCCATCCATCTCATTTGCCTAGACGCCCGACACATAGCAGCACCTGACTGGCGTCACTCCGTTTCTGTGGTTTTCTTGTCTTGGCCGCCGCGAGCCGTGCGGACGCGCTTGTGTGTGTTGCCTTGTCAAGCCAGCCCCTATGTGGCGCTCTCACGCGCAAGTTACATACTCCTCAGCCAATAATAAACACTGTTTATTTATCTGCCATGCTCCTGAGTTCGTCCTCGCATCTGTCTAGCCACCACAATATGTAGGCACCGGACCTTGACCTCCAAGGTGGTGCCAGTGGACGATTTCTCCTGTGCGTTGTTGATCAATAAAACTTCGCAGCGTGCACGTTAACTAAAAGTGGACTGTGGGTCTCTGTATCCAATCGGACTCTTTTGTCTCTCAGTGCCCACTATCAGTGATTGGCATGTACCATCAGGAAACAGTGGTTCATCACTGCATACTTAGCGCCTCTCCAGGTGTCTTTCTTGTGCAACACCACGATGAGCGTCAGAGTCAACGTGACCGTCAATGTAGGCGTTAGCACCCGCTGCTTCGCATCTGCACACGTTCCCATTAGCGAAGCACGGCGTAATTTTTTGTTGTTATTGATGTAGTTCTACTATTCGTGTAAGCCAAGTTTAAGTCAGCCAAGCCTATAAGATCTAAGACGCCTGACAGTGCAGTACTACTACATGCAGATTGCGCCGGACACTGTGGTGCACGTGTGGAAGAATCCTTTCCAATGGGACATGAGTGCAGTGACCGCAGCCGGTTTCAAAGCCCTTTTGTCGAGCTGCTGGTACCTGAACGTAATCAGCTACGGTGTCGACTGGAAGAAGTACTACAACTGCGATCCTCATGACTTCGAAGGCAAGTTTGTGGGCCCAGGCACGTCTCTCTGCATGGGAAAGATTAGTAGCGAAATGAAAATATAAGTATTTTGGTGAAACACCGAATGTTTAGGTAGGATGGCTTATCTATAATTAAACGATGTTTTATGGAATAAGCACACAGAGTGGTCCCCTGAAGGGCCAATTGGTGCATGATAGTTCAGTGAAGAGTTCAATAACGGGAGTGAAACAGAGAAAAATAACTGGACTGAAATAGGCTACGGGTTGTCTTTTCCTTAACTTCTATCCAGTTTTCACACTGTTCCATGCCGATAAAAGAGCGTAAACGCGTGCGTGCTTAAGGTTTATTTTGAGGCACCCACCAATTCGTTACACTGATTATGGGGATCGATTCGCGGGGTCAATTCGGATCGTAGTGTCGATTGTTGTATTTCGATGCAGGTGATTGGATGGAGGGCCATGAACTATCGAAAATTTGTGCACGTTGAGAACGACCTCATGGTCATACTTATGGTAGGCATCCGCTACGGGTTGCCGCACAATCATATTGAATTTTGGCACGTGAAACCCCAGACGTTGTTGTTATTCTCAGATTATTATTATCAATATAATTTTATAACACTGTACACAGGACTACATATAATTGTCGAATTCTTTATTGTTTGAGAGCTAGGAATTCTGCATCAAAATGAAATATGAGTGAACTGAATGATTTATGCATTTCCCGGGATAGCTGTAATTATGGCCTACTTAAACGCTTGTTTTAGACGTATTTAAGAGCGAAAGGTGTTATGATCAGAACTCGGGTGACGTGCAGTGCCCTAGCTGTCCGACACCACCGGCACTGGTGTCCATCACCATTACCGCGAAATAAGCAAAACAAAAAATACCTTGTACTAAAGACACAGTACGGCTTGAGCCTGGGTCCACTGTGTGCCAGCCCAGTATTCTACCACTGAGCTACGCCGGTACTTAGGACTTGTTCGCAAACTTGCCTTAGGCAGGCTTGATGTCCGGAAAAAAATTGCGTTATTGTGAGCATTAAGCGTTTTAGAACAACAAAATAACATTGAGGCGTCACACAATGCGAATAGCGAGACGAGTGGGTCATCCAATGCTCCAACCCATTAAAAAAGCTTGTTTCATCACCTATTAGCTGTGGCGCATACCCACGTCAGGCATAATTTCTCATCGTTGCCAGCCACTGCATGAACAATTGGCACAAAATTCCTTGCAAGTGCTTAGCGTATACAACGTTTCTCAGAAGAATTACGAAACATAGATTAACGAATGCTGGTCTATTACCCAGACATTATTATTAACAATGTCGTAGGGGGCATCCAGCAAGTGTGCTTGCAGCAGTTACGCAATGAGTGTTTAGAAAATGCTCTGAGGGGCCATCCTTCTAGCTTTCGCTGTGAGTGTACAGCGCCTTTCAAGCAGGCCTGGCGTTTTTCTTTATCTTTCAAATACGTTCTGCTTATACTAACTGTTGTTGGTTTTATTTGGCATTCGTGACTATGTGTATGTCTAGGAAAGTAAGTACAAAAAAGAACTATGATTGCCTACTGCCGGTGCCGATCGCTCAGGCCACGTCTGCAGCAGCGAAATCCCGTTAAAATTCCAATAGGCTGTTTTAAATATAGACGACTAGGCTCACGTCTCCCTCGCAGTAAAATAAAAAAAATAGATCCTGACCATCACTCATTAGCTATAATAACGCCACATGCCACATTTCTGCCACTCTGATTATCAGTCGCATGTGTTGGAGCCGTAGATCATTGGTCTGTGGCAACTATTGGCAATCAAGTACTGAAAATGACAACACGTTTGTCATTGTTGCTACGTTAACACGAGGAGCTTTTGATTTTGCTTTCGTGTCTCGTCATACCCATGTTGTTTGTATTTGCACGCACTGTTGAAAACGAGCTACAAGGAAGAAAATTGAATAGAAACGAATGAAAAATCGCGAGTACCCCTCCCCCCCTTTATTTGCAGGGACGCCCAAGCAGAAGTCTCTCGTGCAAGGAGGAGAAGCCTGCATATGGGGAGAATACGTGGATGCCACGAATGTGATCAGCCGCACGTGGTTAGTAATAGCTGTGATGTAACAGCGTCTTGAAATAGGCTAACTATCCTGACAAAGGTTACATCTACGTATACGGTGATATTTGATAATTTCCCTGAGACGATTTTCTTCTATCTCCGCTGCAGTATAAACATTTGGTATCCATGAGTTTGTTTCGACCACTGAAACATCCTTCGTACACCCTCATTTTGACAATTATGGTGGTTTAATGAAATTACACCGCTATTCATTGCCATGATCATCGGGTTCTTCATAAGGAAGGGCGAAATTTTGGGCAGCTCAGTTTGAGCATGAAGAAAAGATGCAACAGTGAAGAACAGAAACAGAGACATGAAGAGCGCTAGCACGGCTGTCGATATTTCTCTTTTTCGCTATTGCTGCATCTTTTCGTCATGCTCAAACTTAGCGGCGCTATAGCAATATGATATTATAATGCACCAACTCCCCAATTAGCAGTACATTCCAAATTTTGGGACTGATGACGCCACGCGACAGCAGATAGTCTGTCAGGAAAGCAATTAATTTGTCCTTGCGTGGTCCAGTAGCGATGAAGTGAACGTCGATAAAGAAAGCGGTGATGCAAGATATTGATCAGAGGGCACTATTGTCAGGAAAAAGAAAATACGAGAGAGTGTCGGTGTCAGCTTGTTGGCGTCCGTTATGGTACAGCACGCGGATGTTGCAGTCTTGCAGGCAAAGTGGCCAAGACGACCTGAATTATCTATTTTTGAATGATTGATTGATTGATACGTGGAATTTGACATCCCAAAACCACCATATATTTATGAGAGACGCCGTAGTGAAAGCTCCGGAAATTTCGACCACCTGGGGTTCTTTAACGTGCACCTGAATTTGAGCACACGTGCCTACAACATTTCCGCCTCCATCGCAAATGCATCCGCCGCAGCAGGGATTCGATCGCGCGACCTGCAGGTCAGCAGCCAAGTAACTTAGCCACTTGATTACCGCGGTGGGGCAATTACCGTCAGAAATGATGCCTTTAGTCATCTTAGGATGACTGCCGCATGAAACCATCATTAGGGCATTGAAGAAGTAATGTGTTTTCCAGATTGGCAAGAATTTCGTACACATTTCTTAAAACACCCTTTGTGCTGTGAAGGATGTTTTTCATGTAACGTACACAAAAAGATTTGACTTTTTCTTCCTAGGCCCAGAGGATCTGCAGTAGCTGAGAGGCTGTGGAGTCCTGCCTCGGTGCAGTACACGAAGAGAACAGCATCCCGGTTCGAAGAACAGCGTTGCAGGATGCTGAGGTGATCACACAACCAAATTATGCACACAAAAACGGACACAACTAATTTGTCCTTCAGTTGCTTGGAACACTATAAATTATGGCTATGGTAAATCATTTCAAGAAACGACTAGTGATTTTATGTGTAGCAGTGGCTAAGAAAGGTGGTGGCACTCTGACCCCAATCCCGCCCCCTCCGGAATTGTATGAAAATTGCTTATGACATCAGGCAGACTGGAGCCTGAGATAACAGTGCGGATTCAGTGAGGTAACAGGTTGTGCAAAACCACAACTAGCTATAGTGATCACTAAATCCATTGAGGTCTGCTGTTACCTATATCCACGGCCACACATCCATTGATTCTCCTATTGATACACTTTTGAACGACTTTCATTTTGTGAATTTTGTAGTGGCTTCGCACTAGAAAAACCAACGACATGTTTTCTCGTAATGCGATTGTGAATAGACTATAAGCTGAAAAGTAACGTAGCGTCCAGGTTTGCTAATTTAGCTATTTCCTAGCTAGATATAGCTACTTTTGGAATCGGCTAGCTACCAAAAATTTGATTTAGCTATGAGTAGCTGTTTTAGGTTATTATTTGAGGTTTACCTTCTAATCCAGGTATTTCAGCTAACCCTAGATCTAGTGTTACGACAATTTCTAGTAATACTTCTAATGCCAGTTTATTCAATGAAACCACAGGGGACAAAAAAATTGCCCTTTTCATTTACAAAATCCCACCGAAGAAGAGAATGACTTTTTGTCCGCTTTCTCGTCTCTCTATTTGCATCAAAATGTAATGGAACACACGCACACAAAAAAGGACAAGATGTGTGAAGTGATTGGGTCCAGGAATCAGCCCAGCATATGGCAGATATTGTCAAATATTTACACGCACCAGCAGCATTGCAAGACTGATGACCGTTTAACACCATATCTTCATAATTGTGCTGTCCTTTTGACTTTTTCTTCCTAGGCTTTTTCTTCACTGGCAGCAGCGGCATCGCATGAGCGTCATCTAAACCTGAATCCTCTGTTTTACGCAGCCGTCCTTGTCTGTGGTTTCTTCGGTGATCATCTTCGTGGTGCTGTGCGGCCGATTAGCTCTTTTGGACAGCGCTGAGTCGCCCACGTGGGTGAATCTGCGACTGCGCAGCCTCTTAGTGCTGCGTCGCTGATATCGGCAAGTCCACCGCTGGAGATCGCTGCTATCGCGGCGACACCCTATAAACAAGCCGGCATTGACGCCCACTCTTCACTGGCAGCAGCGGCATCGCATGAGCGTCATCTAAACCTGAATCCTCTGTTTTACGCAGCCGTCCTTGTCTGTGGTTTCTTCGGTGATCATCTTCGTGGTGCTGTGCGGCCGATTAGCTCTTTTGGACAGCGCTGAGTCGCCCACGTGGGTGAATCTGCGACTGCGCAGCCTCTTAGTGCTGCGTCGCTGATATCGGCAAGTCCACCGCTGGAGATCGCTGCTATCGCGGCGACACCCTATAAACAAGCCGGCATTGACGCCCACTCTTCACTGGCAGCAGCGGCATCGCATGAGCGTCATCTAAACCTGAATCCTCTGTTTTACGCAGGTATTCCGACGTCAATTTTTTTCTCTTGTTAATTTTTCACTGCTGCTGCTGCTGCTGCCATCAAGTGTATCTTTTCTTCTCGCTTTTTTTTTTTTTTTTTTTTTTTCCTGAGTGTGTTTTTTACTTGTACCATGCCGACGAATGCAGAACTGTCAAAACAAGTTGAGGCGTTGGAAGACAAGCTTAACAATATAGCTAAAGGTACAAGTGAGCTCATCTTTGGTAAGATCCTGCTGAGAATGAAGGAATCTGGGATCGACGTTGTTGAACTTAAGAGAGAAGTTGACTCGCTGAGTTCCAGTGTTGAGCATTTGAATGGACTTCTTGAGGATATGCGGTGCAAAAATTCTGCGTTGTCCGATGAAAATACGCAACTCCGATCCCAGAACCAATCATTGACCCGCAGGGTCGAGGAGCTTGAGCAGTACTCTCGTCTCAGCAATGTCGAGATCAAGGGCATTCCATGTACCCAAGGAGAAGACTGTGTTGAAATCCTGAAAACAGTGGGGGACAAAATTGGTTGTCCCATTTTGCCCTATGATCTCGATATTGTTCATCGCGTGCCTACCCGATCTATTGACAAGAAAAACATCATTGCTCGATTTTGTTCTAGAACCAAGAAGGCCGATTTTGTTAGCAAAGCGCGTAAAGCCAGGCTCTGTCGTAGTGATATAGGGTTGTCTAGTCAGTCCAAATTTCCCGTATTTGTAAATGAGCATCTCACTGCCTGTAACAAGACTCTCTTCTCCAAAGCTCTTTCATTGAAAAAAGAAAAAAAATGGTTGTTCCTGTGGACTGACAACTGCCAAATTAAGGCCAGGAAAACAACTACTAGTAAAGTTCTACGCATTCGGGACGAATCTGACCTAAACAAAATAGTATAAAGCTGTTTGTTCATACTTTGGATAGTACAATCATGGCTTCCGTACTAAAACCAGATCAATTGCACTCTTTTCTGAATGGATTTCATTCCATTATTCACTTTAATGCAAGAAGTCTTCATAAACGGTTTGACATCATTGACGGTTTCCTCACTTCACTTTCTTGTTCATTTTCAATGATTGCCATCACTGAAACTTGGTTGTCTGACGATGACAAAAATCTATATTGCTTTCATAACTTTAATTCTGAATACTGCAACAGAATAGCCAGTAATTACGGTGGTGCTGCCATATTTGTTTCTTCTGGAATAGCTTATCGAAGAAGACATGACCTATTCTTAACCGTTGATAACTGTGAGTCTGTTTGGGTTGAAATAGATAACTGCTTTTTGACTGGTGACAATAAGAACCTCATATTTGGTTGTGTTTACCGTTCTCCTTCATCACCAATTAGTGATTTCTGTACTAATCTCGACCATATTTTGCATAAAATTTCAATAGAAAATAAAAATGTTGTCATAATGGGTGATTTCAACATTAACTTACTAGATGAAGGATCACCCATCTGTATCAACTATACTAGTCTGCTTCATGGTTACGGATATGATTGCCTGATTGACGCTCCCACGCGTGAAGATTTTTCAGGCTCATGTACACTCATCGATCATGCTCTCTCTAATTTACTAGACCCACCAGAGGCAAAAGTTTTACACATTGACATCAGTGATCATTACCCCATCATCCTACGCTTCAATACTAATGCTCGACCGCATTCCTTTTCTCACACAAGATATGTGCTGGACAAAGAAAGTTTTAAAACGGCTGTTGCTAACACTAACTGGACTGAAATTAAGTCAATAATCAACCCACAGAAAGCTTTTTCTAAATTTCTTTCACTGATTTCAACGCATTTAATGAAATTCACTTTCAAAACAAAATGTAAAAAAATCATCGCTTTCTCTCATAATCCATGGCTTTCGCAACAGCTATTAACAGAAATGCGCAAACGAGATAACTTGTATAGAAAAACTAAAAAACAACCTTTTAATAAGAACTTAAGTGCCCGATATAAAATCTTCTGCAATGCTCTTAACTACAAACTTAAAACTGCCAAAAGACTTTATTTTGAAGAAAGAATCCAACATGCTTCTAGCACTAAAAAGAAATGGGAGATTGTGAACTCTTTTTTAAACAGGAACTCGAGACAAGACGAGGTACGTCGAATTATAATTGATGGAGTAGAATATGATTCCCCTTCAGAAGTAGCTGAGGCTTTTAGCAACTTCTTCTTCCCTGATAATACCAATTCTCCTACAGAAAGCATTAATACTTCTCGCTTACCCCACTCATTCTTTTTATTTCCTACAATACCGGATGAAATAACTGATGTTATTCGTAATTTAAAAATGACTAGTGCTGGCATAGATGAGATCCATCCTGCTAACATAAAATCTATTGTGCATATAATATCAGACATTCTTTCATTTATTGTTAATTTGATGTTCAAGAATGGTGTATTCCCTTATGAATTGAAGCGTGGCAAATTTATCCCTGTTTTTAAAAAGGGGGATAAATCATTACTAAACAACTACCGTCCTATTTGTATTTTACCATTCCTTGGAAAAGTGGTTGAGAAACTCATTGAGACACGACTAACTAAATATCTTTCCAAGTTTAACATTATCTCTTCCTCTCAGTTTGGTTTTCGCCATGGCTACTCAACAGAGATGGCGCTTATCCATCTTACTGATCAGATAAAAAAATTAATAGACGAAGGATGCCTAGTTGCCTCAATATTCATCGATCTAACAAAAGCATTTGACAGCATAAATCATAATATTCTGTTCACTAAACTGGAGTCCATTGGCATTTGCGGCCCTGCTCTTTCATTACTAAAAAGCTACTTACACAACAGAGTTCAAGTTGTTTCTATTTCCAACGTCTATTCCCGACAGCGAACCACTAACATTGGTGTGCCCCAAGGCTCCATTTTGGGGCCACTTCTGTTTTTGATTTATATTAATGATTTGCCCAAGTGTCTGTCTTCATCACAATGCATTTTGTACGCCGACGATACCACCATATTCACCTCTCATAAAGACATCTCATCTCTTGTAACCATTTTGAATGCTGACTTAGAAAGTATTTTCAAATGGTGTAATACTAATATGTTGTCTATTAATGCTTCTAAAACCAAGTTTGTTGTTTTCACCTCACACCAGCGGAATGTAACATCAGCACCTAATATTACTTTTGGCCCCCACTCTATCTCTCCTTGCTCATTTTCTTCCTTCCTTGGCATCCTTCTAGATTGCAATTTAAAATATCAGAGACATATTGCTCACATAAAAAAAAAATTAGCATATGGTATAAGAGTCTTGGTCAAAACGCGCCCGTACTTCTCACGCAGCACATTACTATCCCTCTATCACTCTTTCGTACATTCTCATTTTACCTACGGTATAACATGTTGGGGCAATACTTACAATACTCACATTTCGTCTCTTCAAATCGTCCAAAATCATGCTATTCGACTAATTACATCCAGCCCAC